TATATATATATATATATATATATATATAACCATCAGCTGCAGTAGGCGGCGAACTGTTTGGTCACTCATTAATAACCGGCCTATGGAGATGCTACTAAAAACGGATTGGTAAGGTGAAAAAGAATGAATATGTGAATGAAAAAAGGAAGGCGTCAGTAGTAGCCTGTTTTTGCTTACCCGCCCTGCTGTATGTAGCAAGTAAAGCGACCCTGCTAATGGTACCGCGTGGCGGCCGAGGGAGGATGAGGTTATCTGCAAGTGTGCAATCCATTGCTGTATGTAGCCTGAGATACAGACCTAGACAAAAGGACGACCAGGATCCTCGACTAAATCCTTTGTCTCAAAAACCTGATTACAGTGATGCAGTAGTTGGCGTAAGAACTTCAGAGCAGCCTACATTTTTAAGGAGCAAGTTGCCACACATGTTCCAGTCCTCAACGTGGGGGACGAGGAGACTGTGTTAGTCAGACCCTTGACCATTGACCAACCCGGTATGAGAGGTCCTGTGAGTGTCAAACATATACTTGCCAGTATAGCTCAGTGAGCTGTTGAGGTGCACAAGCGGTCACGCGATGAAACTCATTGTGTTGATGAAATATTCGCCTCGTTGGACAGCAGCCGAATATTGGGTCAGATATTTCGGTTTTCTTGTTTGTGTTTTCCTCACTTGAATGGATCAAGCTAGGACAGCTTTTGCTAAACTGACAGTTGAGGCTCCAAATGGACATTTCTTTGTTTACCGGGGTCGGACACACGACAGGCTTTCCATCCTGCTCATGCTTCGGAGACGAGGCATCTACACACAGAAGATAAACAAAGAACCTCTAATGTCTGCTCGTTGGCTTCTTTGATGCTGTACTTCAATATGATATGAACGTAGAATCGGCAACTTTGAGGTACTCTGGCAGTATCCTAGCCCTCGTGCTTCCTTCGGATGGCATGGCAGCTAGGCACGGGAAGGGTGCTACAGCTGGACGCTTTCTTTTCTTTCTTTCTACTCCAGATGGTTTTCGGTAGTTAGCCCTGTATAAAGTATGTGCCTATGTGAGTTCGTGATCTGAATTGAGTTATGAAAGCCCCGGGTGCTAAATTTAATTGGGTTAATGAATACCGATCCGTGAGTAGGGGCCATCGGGACGCGACTTATTAATAGTTAGCGATACTCAGGGACATGGACAATCTTTGTGACACCTGGTTAGACGATAACGCCAGCCACTCTGTGTTTCTGACATTTTGTAAACGAAGTGTGAGCTATCTTTCCCACAGTCCTAACGCACATCAAGCCCCTTAGCTGTGGATTCTTTGTCGTTCAACTCTCTCTGCTTTTTCATTTGTAGACGCGTTCTTGGGGCACCTGGAAAGCGTCCCTCTTGTACTCCCTGAGAGGGCGCGTTCAGCGTCGGCAAGGCGAGAGACTAAACATGTTTCCGAATCAAATCTGTCTGCAACTTCCAGGCGACTACGTAGTGTGGTCATTGACGGCAGTAACGTAGCATTTGCGTACGTATTTTGTTGTTCTTTATTCGGTTACGTGAAAAGCGTGTCCTTGTCGACTTGGCTAAATAAAAGCAGAATGTTAACATTTGGTGCACTGTCTTCATGCCCACCTACACTTGATCTATTTAATAACAAATCTAAATACAGTACCAACCGCTGTCAGTTAGGTTGCATTCCCGCATTGGGCATCTGTGTAGTGATACAGGCACTAATGCCTCGGGCGATATGTAATTGCACGTCACTCTAGTTACCGTTAAGCCTTATCAACTTCACCCTGCGATTCACTGTTAACACTGTGTTTCTTGGTTTGCCGAGCTTGGAGTACTGCTCACGACAAACATGTTCAACAAGCTTTCCAGTTGATCGAAAATAAGCTTTAAGCCGTTCGTAATTATCGTTGCTAAGAAGTCCCCGTGTACAAATCTTACCACTGCGGACGTTCAGTAGGTTATTACGGTTCGGCTTGCAATAGTTTGATCTTGTGACAATTCCTGTAGTGTGAAGTAGTCCGAGTGGCTGCAGCACTTTCGGAATTACGAAACCACAGTTTATTTCGGCCACTATCATCGAGAAGTGGAGGGCAGTGTCTCCGTTCGAGAAGCTGCAGATAATCGAGGAACGAAAACGGACGACAGAATAAGGTACAGTCATCTGGTGTTTATAGGTAATTTGTTTCTATGGCGAATCACTCATGCTGATCGGAAAGCCGTGAACTGAACATTTTCCCCGCAGATTTCTTAATATTCGAGGATTTTACAGGTATCGTTGCAAGGTTTCTACGGAAGTGGGCTTTCTGCCTCAGTGTGTATGTGGATATCTTTCAATACTCATACTGCTTGGTTCCTCATCTAGACACATGCTGATCAATCTGTTTTTGGTTCCTAGACTGTAGCGACTAAGTGATCGCTTGCTTGCACCAACCCGTCCATCATCTCCTCGTTACCTTTACTCTTCCACCATTTCCAGCCACGGGAAGCAACAGAAGTTCAGTCCTGAGGGGATTTGGCTTGCACTAAATTTTTTTATCAAGCGCGGACACACCAATGTTGTGGCTGTCGTTCCCCGTTTTCGCAGGGGCATGGGTGGAAAGCTGTTTGACAAGCTAGAGCGGGCGGGATATCTGTGCTACTCGTCTTCTCGCTTCGTCAACGATGATCACCAGATTGCAGACGATGACAAGTAAGCTTCTGTCCCCAGAGGAGTTTAGTTAACTCTATTAATAATGTTTGGAAGAATTCCCATTGCTTCCTGATTTTACACGCCACCAACTTTTTGATCCAGAAAGTGATGACAACTCGTAGATTATCACTTTTGCGTGCTTTGTTCTCCCCGCCGGGCGAATACTGTTGATATCGGACGAATTCGTCTGTTTCCCCAGATGAGGAGGCCAGTACATTTAATAAATGCCGTCCGTAATTTCCAAGAGCCAGTCATATTGCGTTCGCTTAATGCATTACCGACCATCGGTACGTCTCTCTATGACTAAATACAATCCTGTCGAAGCCTTCTTTGTGTGAAAAAAGATGAAGTCGATTAAAGGGTGAAAATTCATAATCCGTAGTTCGAGATACTTTGGTTAGTCGCGGTGGGTGGTGCCCTGTTTTCTACGATTCCCAACCATCCATTCCTTGGCTTTAGCCAGTAACCAGTTACAATTGACATCATTCGGCCGCTTTGTGGGCGCGATGTGATATGCGGCCTATACGTCCCACGGAATGGTGCATACAAATTTGTTTGATAACCGTCACATAACTGATGTGGGAACAGGCCGTGCACTGAATAAGAGTTTGGTTTACAGAGAGTACTCACAGGAAATTCAAAAAAGAGTCGATATCTTGTGTTTTGAAGCGTAGAACATAAGTATCAAGTAAAAATGACCGACCCTTTAAACAACCCACCACTTGTTTCATCTCGTTAAGAATCCATCAGGAATCGATCACCCGATGTTCCAGTTGAAATTTCATGCACCTAACCTTATCTTCGCGTGACTGATTGTCACACTTATCAGGTAGGCTTTAATGAGGATGAAACTAATAATAGTTTGTTCTTCTAGAATTGACCACTTCTACATCATGGTTATAAATTACAAGTCTGTAAATTCACTGTTTGAGAATTATTGGGTCCTTCCTGAGGATCGGAAAAGTCTGGAACGGTAATCTGATCATCCAAGAGTAGAATTATTTCTACATAATTCGGGGCATGAGCTAAACACACATGTCGAATGAACAACTCTTAATCATTGGCGGGCTTAGTAGAGCATAATCCTTTTGCTCTCCGGTTGACTAGATGAGATTGCTGCATGAATATGTTGCCTGTGTGGCAGCTTGTACTCTTCTATGCTCTTCCATATGTTTTCTGGACGCATGTGTGATAATACTGAACCTTGTTATTTTATAGAGAACTCAGTCGAGTTGACCTGCATTCCAAATAGAAATACAACCTCAAGATAGCTCGGTTGTTGAGGTATCCACGTCTGACCGCGGTTCGCCCAGCTTATCGATTGCATCTGCCTTCGAACTGCTAACCTTTTTACCTGTTGTCCAATTCTCGTTTCCTTCATGTTGGACGAAAGATGTGTATCCGAAGGGTGCCGTTGCTAGGCTACTTGAGTCGATTTCTAGCCGGATGGTTTCATGAAGATAGGTATCGGTTGATGTGTGACTCTAGACTAGAATTATTTACCACCAAAATGTACGAAGTTGTGACATAACCACGTGAAGGGTGGGAACGAGTCAGGGTAGGTCGCAAAATGAATTGGCGGCGAAGTGTGGAAGCCATTACCAGCTTTCGTCGATGATGATGATGATGCATTACCAGGAAACTCAGCTGCGCTAGTCATTGCCGTCTTCCTCGATGGGCTACATCAATGGTTGTCAGACATTGCCCAGTCGTACCCTCAGTGGCGCCCGTGCATCCAAGCTATTGCCTTCAATGCATAGTTCCCTTCCTAACTCCACCCCCCACTTAACAGTTCACTGACAGTTCTGTATTTACGCACCAATTTATCAGCAACTGTCTCCACTGCGCGGCTACCTCCCCTAGCTCCCGAAATCATCGATGGACGAAATTGTGGCAGCTACAACCACTGTACGGCAAGTGCGCGGTTCTTACAGCTGATAGTGATGATGATGGTTGTTAGTTGGGCCCTTATGTTTTCATAAGGACGATTGAATTTTGCTCACCTTGACGATCAACAGATGACAGCCATAGCAATAACGAAGAATTTATTGATAGGTTCGCCCAGGTATGCTAACAATCAACTTGTAAAGTCTGAGTTGCGCTTTGTTTGACAGTACTTGTTCCACATTTGAATTACAATTTGATCAAGACTGTTTGCGTGATAACTGTTCTCCAGATAATTGTTACGACGAAATAATAATGAACTTCTTGTTTTTATACTGTTTGCATCCAGTCTTGGGAGTCTTCAGAGTATGTTCAACGCGTCCATAAACATCTGGATCTGTACCCTTCCCACTAGTGAACATCCTAGCGAACGATTTCTCACATCCACCTCCTATTGAGATCTTGTACTTCTAACTTCGACTTATCAGTTAATTTCATTATCCAGCACAAGTAATTGGCCAAGGATCTCTCTCAGGTAGTGCACCCGAACTCCCTATAGTCCACAAGACTGCCAACACTCGTTTTCAAAAGTAACGAGGCAACATACGCTGAATTAGGTGTTGACTCGGGTCTACCGTTGCTCGTCATCAGATGCCATGGAGGGCCCGAGGATTGCGAAATTTTGGCTTACTGTTTGGGAGGATGTTCACAAGACAGGTATGGTTAGGTTCGGTTACCCTTAGTCACAAGAAACGTTCTATTCTTATTGGGTTCATCTCGTGGATGTGGGTTTGATGGGTCTCATGTATAAACTATTGGCTTAAAGGTGAAATGTGCAGTGCTCCTTCCTTACTTGGGATGACCCCAAACTATTCCAATTTGCATTGTCTCATAGGGTTGCTGAAAACTCTTCGGCAGCCCTTGGGTGGTTTCGTCGTTCTCGGAACTCATCAGCTTGACACAGTTCTTGAGTGTCCATCAACCTTTCGTTCGACTGTACAGTTCAGTTGCGGCGCATATGGTCTCCAGCTACTGTTCCCATAAGTTGAGGAGGGAGAAGTAACTTAATAACTTTTTCCGGCCGGAGTAAGCCAGACAGGTAAAGTTACTTCACACTTTCGAAGGTCAGAAGCGTTACTTTATTCCTTAGGGCTTCTAGCATCAAACCAGTCAGTGATAGTATATTTTTATCAATTTTCCGGTATTTCCTTTATGAACCATTCGAGGGATTTTGAACCCATAACAGCCTGACTTCTGACTGTCTTTTGTGACAGTACCTTAGCGTACAAACTTTTTTCATTCAACTTTTATCACGACTGATTGGCCCCCTATCCGGGACTTTTCCAAGTGAAACACTAGCTCCTAAGCACAACCGATATATGAGCTAGCCAGCCTACTCTACCAGTTTTACGTGTCTATTTTTGAGAGGTTTGACAAATACCAAGCACATTTACCTCATTATCATCGTGATCATCTAAGCTTTTATGTTTACAGTGGTTCAATCATTTCAGTTTCGTTCACCGGTTGTATGGAAACTAAGAGTGGATAGTTGGAGACAGTATGTGATATCTTTGGCGGGTGAATCCAGTTGTGGAAATAGAGCTTTTTTGGTGGGGCGATCGGGAGTGGAGGCTGTTCATTGATGATGTATCTTGCCTGCATGCGCGCCCTAGATCGAGTGGCCGAGGCGTGTCCATCAGTGTTTAATAAATGATGTGTTCAATTTTGGCGTCGCCATCCAGGGTTCTCATCGCATCTAAGTTTGCTGCTAATGGTTCCCATATTTCGCCACCTATACAGTTTCACGACGTCACTCATTGTGTGTTATCTCTCCCACAAACTATTTGTCCTACTTTGGCACTGCTGATTCCATGTTCCCACTACAGTGGGGCGATGTACCCAAGATACTAGCAAAGGGGAACAGAGGACAATCTTATCAGAAACTGTTGAATGTAGGGAACTTGGGTAGGGGGCGATCATACACTTATCCGTCCACAAGAATTAGCGTACAGTGCTTTATTGAGGGTCACTTTGTAGACACTGCAACAATGCCGAACCAAGCCAGGATCGATTAGCGCAATCACCCTCTGTTCCAGAATCCGTTGAGTAAAATTATGCTCAGTGCGCCCTCCGCTTGTTTTGCTCATATGTACACGCCATTCGCCTCGCCGCAAAGATCATCCTGGGCGACACTGGTCTATTGGTGTGTGTGTGTGTGTGTATGTGCGTCTGTGTGACTTCGCAGCCGACCTACTTACCCATGCATGTTCGTGCCCCGTTTGCTGATCCGCCCCGACTTGTTCTGTCATGACTTCCGTGTAATCACATCGCCAATCAGAATCACAAGATTGTCATCGGAAGGGACCACCGTGCCCCACACTGTCGAGCCTACATTCCGCTTGCCGTTGTTTGATGTGCTGAACTTGACTCTTCACTGTTCTGGTGCACCTTTGATGCCACGAATGTGGACAATTGAGGATTGTTGTTTTACTTTGCTTACCTTCGTGTCAGTAGACCTTCGAATCCAACTGTTTCACAGAGCTTAGACGACCAACTTGGGCATTCATATCAACCGCAAAGATGACAGTCTGAATTTTGCCTGTCTAAAGAACCCGGATACCAAAATTGCACCGGTCTCGATGCGGCATTCAGTTCGACTAAACCGGATAACCAAACAACTCAGAGACGGCGGCTCACTGGAATCCAGTCTAGCAAGATGCGTTGCTGTGTGCCTTTCCAACGACGCGGTTATCCCCCTGAATTATACCGCCTGCAGCTTGTAAGACTACAAATCAGGTAACACGATTTGAAAAGTGACCGTGACTGACCGTTTATCGGGGCAGCGATCTCAACAGTCATATATACCGGAGCAGAAACTTCAGTTCATCGGGCACCGGAAAAGTAAAATATGGAGCAGCTGACTTCGTTTTGGGTTCTTTAGGTTTCGTGACAAGACTTAAGTTTGGTGTTCTCGTCTATGAGTGGGAGAGAGTACAGGATCGAAACGACCATTGCCCATCTACCAAGTAGACACAGTACGGATTTTTTCACGCCCATTCGTACACGTCGTGAAATTTTTGGTGTTATTTTCTTTGATTTCAGTAGGTAATGGATTAGACAAGAGGTATCAATCAGAACTCTGACAGTCAGGTGAACCGGCGGTGTTTGCTTTTGAGGTTGGAGGAACTGGAGCTGCACATCACTGAACAGAGGACTGTGTAAGCACCAGTTCCCGATGGCCCCTGCGGAGGGGAAGGATTTAGCTGAGACGCAGTGCGCTTAGCGTTTGACTCCTGCGTCTGAATCGCAAGACAGTGGAACGATTCTAAGTTTCGTTCGGGCGTCCCGCCGCTAGCCGCTGGTTCACAGTTAACCTGCAGGTCAGTGGGTAGCAAGGTTTCCATGGGGAACCTGCTCTGAACCAACGATTCATTGGTCTATCCCACTTGACTGGACTGGGCTAGCCTTCACGGAGGGATTTGGGAATAGGGTCTAGATCTCCATTTGTGGTGTGCTGCGTGCAGTAGATGCATCCGAAGCCTTGATAGGCTTGATAGGCTTTCATGCTATTTCGAACTTACTGAGTAATTCGCTACGACCGTTGGATGGTCGTAGTTACTAGGTCTATTCTTGTCTAACCCATCCTCTTGAGAAGGCAGCATCACCGTTTTAGTAACTGAGGACGTGTTGGTCTTCTGGCGAAACACCCCATCTCCTTTACCATCCTACTGCATGGCAACCAGTCCTTCCCGCCAGACCGGCTAGTAACACTATTACCCGCAGAAGGGGGCCCATTGTTCTGTTCTCTGGTACCCACTTGATGTTCCTAGCGTAGTCAAACTACGTGCATCGAAGTTCCATTCAGCTTAGTCCATGGGATTATTGCAGCCCGATCACCGCGTCGGACCGTCAACTTTTTGGGTCCTTCCAAACTATTCAGGGCGTGAAGGATGTTCTCATTCACAGGCTTTTCGAAGTCACCTGCCAGTTTTGACTTCGAGTTTCATTCGCACTCGCCGAGCACCATCCATCACCCACACTAAAAGCTACCAGAATTCCAGATGACAGTTATGAAATGGGTTTCCTTTTACTGGGAATTATGGTTAATGCAGTTGAATAAACGTTTGCATCACTGTCGTCTGAACGGTCATCCTCCTGTCCTGACGAAATCACCCTGGTGAGTCTACACCAAAGGGGGAAGCACTGGAGTCGAGTTTCGCTCTTATTAGAGCTCATCAGTAGTGTATATGTTTGGCCTCACACATATGACATGCGAGGCGGGCGTGTTACCACTACTCCATCAGCACATGCTGGACGCATCTTTGGTGTGGACACACCAGAATGATTGCGCCAGGACAGGAGGATAACTGTTGAAGCGAGGGTGATGTGATCGTGACTTTTGCAACTCCCGCAACTAATCCATGATTGTCCAGCCGGTTTCAAGCGTTGGCGCTACCTGACTGGGAGGTCCTGAAAGGCGGGCTAATCGATGGACGCCACCAAGTTATGTCACTGAGTCGTCGTTCGAGGCGTCGGGCCTACCACTCCCATCATTCAAGTGTGAATATCTCCATTTGTTTCCGTTTTACTCGTCACCACCTTTGTACCCTCCAACGACCTTGCCACAATGGCTTGACACCCGCATTTTTGTGTGTGTCGGTGCGCCTGCATACCCGTGCGCATTCGTTCTCGGCCTGTTCTAACTTGTCATGTCGTGACGCGCGTGTAGTCACAAAACATTTTGAATCCTGGTAAAGCATAAGGTTGACGGAAACTCAGGGACATCGCCTACCTGATGAGCCCCAAGAAGGTCGAAACCGTTCGTGGACTGTCAACTAGTTTTCAGCAACTTTGTGAGTAGATTCCTTCATAGAAGTCGTACAACTATTTAGAATCGTTGTCCTGATATCTGGCGAAGCGACCGACAACGGTGCCTCATGGGCTATCATTCCACTCGCTGTTATCCGGTGTGCGGTCCTTGACACTGGTTCGCCTGTCAGCTGTATGATTGTGTATATTTTGTAGACCCGGTGAACGTGGCAAATTGATATTTGTTGTGTGCATTTTCTTACATTTTTCTAAACAGTATGGTTGATTTGCACTTGCTTTCTGGGAGCATCCAACTTACAGCTACCGGAGCTTCCGTATCGGGAACTCAACACTTTCCTGCACGGTTCAGGGCATCAGTGAAGTAGCCTAACTGGCGGAGTGCAGGTTCGGTAACTGAGTTGCGTTTTTAACAGCAGGCTGGAATACTGTACCTTCCGCCTTGTGCGGTGGTTAGGACGAATCCAGAGAGAACTATTAAAAAATTAACCAGTCTCATCATGATTGGTTGGTTTCCGTCTATTAAAAAATGCCCTCAGTTTCTTAATGGATTTGAAGTACTTTCTGGACTCTTTGTGAACTCTCTATGGTTGGTTTGCGGAATCCCCCTGTCAACAACTTTTTCGGATTGCCACTGAAGTATGGTAGTTACCTTAGTTACCGGCCTCGACTTGTTCTGACTGGTACTCAGGTGGATAATAATCGCGGAGCTGGACGATGTGAATAGAGTGGTCTAAGTCTCGCAGAAAACCTGAAGACAGTACTTTGGCGTTCTGGAAGATTTTCAAACCCGTTTTTCCAACTATTTAAACAGCACGTAAATACGAGAGATTGTTCAGTGTCGTGATCATGAGGATCAGGTTTAAGGGAAACGCCTAACGACACTGCCTTACCGCATGGCTTGCCAACAAAGAGTACAGTCTTCCTCCTTTTGTCACAGCGCCCTCGAACTTCTAATGGGGCACATCGTAAGGTCAACAACCAACTGGGATTAACGTTTTGCCTTTGTCGAACAGCCCTAATAACGACATATAACAGAAACCCGTAAACCAGTCGTATGGGCGCCTTTAGCTAATTTCGGACAGATTTGTTCGTCATGTTTACTGGGAGCTCTCTAGATACTTATTCGTTGCATTTCGGTCTTCCTCAGAGTCTCTTACGGCGTAGTTTCCCAATAAAAAAGTTACCCTCTGGTGTCTCTTCTTATCCTACCGCGTCTAGTTGGGCTCATTTTAAGGTCCCCACACTTGTGAAGATACTACAATTCCTACCATTTAGCCATGATTGTTTATGCTTTCTCATCTTGTTCTTCCAGGATTATTTTACAACTCGCCATCGAAACCGAAGCGGTAGTTGTTTCCAACGATCAGTTTCGTAATTACCGTGATATCAACGAGCAATTTCGTGACGTCATTGACAACCGGTTAGTTTCAGTTTGGTGGTTTTGTCTACGATTCGGTTACTTAACATCGCTCAACTCTGACGCTGGAACAAGCAAAATAAGCATTGGGGAACAGGTTGCGCAATAATCCCCCCTAGAGCTAAGCCCCGAACACACGAAAGTATTGCTATATGAAATTTTTTAAAGTTACTCTGATTGAGAAAATACTTCTCACTCAACAAAAATCCTTTGGTCAGTCAGATAGGAAAATTCTATTAAGACTCAGCCGTACGCCTGCGGGGCCATCGTATGGACCTAGGTGAGAAAGATCCGGTAAAATAGGAATAAAAGCAAGTCATCGCAAGTATTTTATGCCTATCACGATCGCTCGCTTAGTGGAGTGCGCAGATATCATTCACAACGATAGGCTAAACGACAACTAGTTAGTCACGTGGAAGCGTTGTATACGACGGGAACCCATGCAAAGTTCTAATCATTCTTATCTACCTCTCAAATGATGTGGCAGTTTGTCCTGAAGGTTTTGTGGATAGCTAGTAATCGTAATATAACTCATCTGATGATGGCACTGAAGACTTAATCCACACAGAGCATCCATGCCTGCTATGCGGCTGGTGTAAATATCCGATTAAGTATTCACCCCAGGGTGCAGGTAACGGATTTTGTTACAGGTTTGACAAATACCTCATGCGTTAGCTACAGTAATTCACTTAATACAGGACAATGCGAGAGAGTAGCTTCTTAATCTTTGGTGGTGGCTGCCGTTCGGAAGGAGATAAGGGATTCCTATAATATTCATTCGTATGAAACTGCCCTCACATCAGGGGGCCTTTCGGGAGTTAAAAGATATTCTGTGAGTGGTTTGCGGAAGCTCTTCAAAATTGACCTTAGAGTCAAGAGAAACCTAAAATTCTAAAAGGGCCAACCTCTCAGGAGAGACCCTTTCTGTTAGGTGGGGTTATTGCCATGCTGGAAATCGATATTGGAACTCGTGCTGTTCTATTGCCTCAGTCCCCATGTGTCTAATGATGGTTGGTCGTTTCTACGACCCAACGTGAATCGCAGCAGTTTTCATACAGCGCACGAGGCCTTTAGTCTGACGATAGCGAGCTAAACTGGAACTATCTTGGAACTAAGTAGATTCCCTCGGATCTGCAAAACAGAAACTGGACGATTGTGTTATTTTGTTTAGTGTTTCGTATACTATAGACTGTTTCTATTTTCCTACTTGGCTTTGTCATTTCCGAGCTCATCGCTCAATTCTCCTCTAATTTCAGACTGCTTCCTTACACTATGGCCCTGAATACTTTTTTGATCCCTGACGATCCTCATGGTCGCAAGGGACGGACTCTTTCCGAGTGTCTCTGTCTTCCACACCATACTGAAGATTGATTCCAAACTGGTTGCTATCTGCTCCCTGTGTTCTCATTTTGCTCGTATTTCTCGTCCTTGTTACTCCAATAAGTCCAGTCCCTTTTGGGTGGGTTGTCTCACTTCACCGGGTCGTCGTGTGATCAGTGAGAATCGAAGATTCCTTCTTATTCCTGTTGGCTTATGTGAACATTGGTGATGAAGTTCAGCCCGCACTTGTATTATACACTGTTGAGAAACCTAGTTCTCCTGGACTATCACATTACCCACCTTTGTGCCCGGCTTATTCCATTTTACTTTTTAACAATTACACAGACTCCATCGCATGCATGGCTTTTGTTTTCTGCGAAATTTATGTCTGAAGTTGATAGCCAGAGACAGTTATCAATACCATACCTTCATCTGGGCGTAGTAACCGCCTTGTCCCTCAGCCTGGTGAAGCTTGATAGCTTAACTAGACAAGCTGTTATTCAAAGGTCTGGATTCCTTCTGCGTTCTCCCAATTTGTTTTCGGGTCCTTCGTTTACATCTATGCCTCCAATGCGCAGCTACCTCCCCTACCTCCCCGAATCATCAGTGAACGACATTGTGGCAGCTACAACCACTGTACGACAAGTACAGCTGACCATGATGGTGATGATGATGAAAGGTTCATGGATTTCGAGCAGGCTATGCTGTTCAGCCTGTGTTAGTGGCCGCACGCTCTCTCTTACGAAGTTAGCATTTTCATTGATTGTCCGTGTTCGGTATTGTGGTTGAAAACTCCGTTTGTATTGAGAACATCTTTTCTGTTGGGCCCGGTACAACAGCAGGATTTAAATGGAAGTGGCTGGAACTTCTACGCACGTCCTAGTTAACCAATTATAGGAAGATACGCACCAACAACAGGGGATCCCTCGTACTTCTAGAGCGCGCTTTGAATACTATCTAGTGCGTGATTCCTCCGATTTTCATTTCGTCAACAGTTCCATGGTTGACGTAAATAGAAGTACTGATACTGGTCTGTCGATGAGCATTCGTATGTTTCCTTCGATGTTTTCTCGGCAACACTATTGCATTGAAATCATGAACACGATGTACCTCCTTGGTTTTGGCAAGTGTCGTGACGGGTAGGTTCTTGCAGTTTTCGCCTTTAAACAAATCATATGTAGCTTTACTCACAGTTCTGTGTAAAATGATAACAAAGTACTTCCGATAAGGCACTTTTGACAATATCTACCCTTACGGCGCCATTTCATTCTGAATATGGATCAGTTTGGAGTTCCGTACTTTCGGGTAGCATAGGCACCTAGGGCCACCGCTGATGAAACCAACTGCATTCTATCTAGTCTTCGAAAATCCGTAATTACCTCCTTTCGAATTTCCTGTCGGTGGCCTCGGTACCTACTTTGTGCGGCATTACAACCATTCGCGCAGTTTATGGCAAAAACTTCAATATATACGAAACCATTTCAGTAACTGAATCCAGTGATGGCTTGAACGCTTGGTCGATTTTATTGATGCTGTCGGCTGCACCTTACTCGTTGATGGCCGAAGCCAGTGCACCGCACTCCGTGTGAGATCCTCGCAGCACGGTGTGCACGATTTTCCACTGTTACCCGGTGATCATAGCTTTCGTACTGTTGCTTCTGTTGTCGTACAATATGCACACAAAAGCCATCGAAATTCCGACGGAACGTTGCAGTAGCGACCCAGCTGTTGAAGAATTCACTGGTTTCCGTTCGCACGGTGTTCAGCTTGATCATACTAACGACAGTGTAACTGGAAACCTACATGCGTTGTGAAAAAAGGCCAGTCTACTGATTTTCTGGTTACGAGCACATTTCTACTTTCATACTGGAGCCCAGACCGTTAATTTAAGTTGGATGTCTTTCAGACCACCATCCTTCGTTAAAAGGTGTCCCAACTCTTGTGTTCGCTCTTTTGGTACTTGTGGGGCTCTCTCAATCCACATATTTCAAATCGTCGAGCTCTTCATTAAGGCATATTCGTTTTGGTCATTCGAACCAAATTTATTACTTTTAAAATGTTTAATTTGAATGGTGTGTGGATCCCATTGGCTGATATTGGGGATGGAATACAACGATCTGAATTAGGTATTTATCGTCTAGCGGTCCAGTCACTTCGAGTATCCTTCGTCAGCAACTGCTGTATCGTGGGTGGCCGTCCATTGGTTACGCCTGCACTGGGTCTACCAGAGTACGCGATCCGCGTAAATATATGGGGTGACTAAATGGCCAAATATGGTCGTTCACCTGTTCGTTCTGTACAGCCAATGGCCGTGAACACTTTCAGGCCCACTCTGCTGGTCATATGTTGCTAAGCCGTGTTTGGTGAGCTCCGCCAACGCACCTGCTTTCCGGACGTGTCGTGTGGTGACCTTGGGGATGCGTTACTCTCTGCACATGTACTTTTTTTTCCCATGTCTGAGCGCATCCTGACAGCTAGTCGAATTGACGATGTTGGGACAGTTACCATCTTTTTTCAAACCTGTCGCTCCAGTTGCTCAGGTTTGTTTAGACGTGCGAGCTGTCTTGAGGCCAAGGGAACAATGGAACATGTTGCCATGTTGAATCCTGACAGAGCTGCTCACCATCATTTGAGTTGACACATTGAAACGCATACAGTGAAACAGGACCATTGTCGACGAATGGTGCAAGGCCACCCTAGTCTTTTTACACAGTGCGCTCAATATTATTGGAATTTGCTTTCTGATGCACGAAAGAGCATCCTAATTGATCGAAGATACCCGAGATAGCAAAAGGTCCGGCACCAGCTAAACTTTATTGAAAGACTGTACAGACTACGCTGGTACGGTGTAGGGTTGAGACTGATTGATTCACTCTAAGAATTGCAAATAATATCGCCATATCGGCTGCCAATAATTTAGAAAAGCCAGAAGAGTTGAACTGCTGCCACGATGCTCAGCCCTGGTTTGGATGGTATACCTACATTAGGTAGTGAATGTCAAGAATGACTTTCGAGAAACTTGATTTTTTTATTTCCGACCTAATTCTGATTAAACAGATGTAACCTCTGCGTCAAAACTCGAAGCTCTTTCACCCAGCAGCTAGAAGAGAACACCCAAAAAAACTGACAGTTGTAATGTTGGTCTTCATGGATGGTGACGATATAAGTCAGTTCTCACCCAGAATGATTGAGTTTAGAGAATCATATGGGCCACTTAATGGGAAAATTTAAAGTACGGATTACTGATCCCACTCCACACGGGGCAATTTACCTGTGGCGGTTGTTCCAGGAGCACACGTCTTCCCTGAATCCCATTGTTCTTTTCCTTCCTAAATTAGTCTGTTTATTTCTATCGTGAATCCCAATCAACATTCCGGAACTGACAAGTCATGAATGGGAACCCATAGAGAACTACAGAATGGAGTTGTAAGATCCGCTGCGTACTCAAATTGAACACAGCATGACCCGTTTCTCGGATGGTTTCGTTACGTTGACTGGATTTCACACTGGTAAGCTACGCCATTATTTTCCGGGCCGCGTAGAGCGCATACACAAGCCTTAGATATTTGAAAAACGGACAGATATAACGTGAAGACGTAATGCAGTTGGGAGATTCGAAAGGCGATTTCCCCCTCAAAATGGAGAGAACCTTTCGTACCCAGATAGGCTGGTTTTATCCAGCGGAAGCTTTGGATTAGCAACAAGAAACCAGTACAAACAAGTGGGAGTGAGTTCTGTAACCAGATTTTGTAAATGCGACAAACACTACTATCACTTGAGCAGCTGCACACATTGTGCATTCGACATCCACACCAATATACTTTGAGTAGTCCCCTTGCTATCTCAGAGAGCCCTGGAGTGGAGCACCGGCCATATTACAAATAAGCAGCAGTGCACGTCTTTAGCTGTTCCGGACGATGGACCTTAGATCGCTAGCATACATGTGAGGGGAGCATCTAACCGTTACGCAACGAGCGCACGCTAATTGAACATCACTCATCACATGTAGGCAGGCTGACATGTTCTTCAGTGGGAGTGGCCAGAGGCTGTGTAGAGAAGAAAGCCAGGAAGTCAGTAATTTCCAGCGTGTTTGGGAACCTGCCCTCATGGCTTTAAAAAGACACTCCAAAATCCAAGTTATTTTACACTTCAGTGCACTCCGAAACTGATTATCCTTTTTCTACTCGCATACGACGCGAAAAAAGACAGCAATGAGCCTATCGAAGACCTGGTGAGGCTTGTTTTTCGGTACTGGTTAAGATGTTTTCGCTTCGTGAGCCTCCATTGTTAGGTCACGGCAGCAGTTACTGTGTCTTACAAACCACATACCGACGTCAGTGACATTCCAAGATTGTCTGAATAAGCCGAGCAACCTAGCGCAGTTCAGGTCGATTTTATAGACTTTGTCTCAAGCAGAGGACGAGGTAGGTGGTCCTAGATGTATAGGCAATATATTTACAAAGTAAAAAAGTGCTGCAAGCGGCGTAATACCAAGTTCAATAGAGGTCTAAAAGAACAAAATGTTCCATATAAAATCAAGGGAGGAAAAATGTGGGTAATCAAAAAAAGCACTTAGGAAATAATGGGAATCAGTCTTTGAGCTCGGATTTTCAATCAGGGAACAACCGAACGAAGTATTCACGAAAGCTATCGGTAGATTGTCAAACCACAGGCGATTGGCAGTTGGAATGCACCGGATATCAAAGAGAAACTAGGAACATCCATCTTCGGGCGTTAAGGAAGTTGAAGGCACTGGGAAAGAGATGGTCCGTCACGTCCATGCGGATCATCCGTGACAAAGAAAGCGTTCCGTATCATAACGAAAGGGAGTCTAAAAGGAAGGAACAACGGTGAAAGGCGAAAGACGATAAAGGAAATCTTGCTTATGCCGAACTCTTCTTCGTTCACAACGACCGGTAGTATATGAATGTTGAAAACTGGCTACATTAACAGTGATGAGTTACTTATGTGCGTAGAAACACAGGGGCAAACTAACGGATCCAAGGGTCACCAGTACGGGACAACCCGAGGCTGGGAACTGGAGAGAACACCTTAGGCAAGCGGCATGAAATTAGGCTAAATTGGCCATTCGCTCTGTTCTAGTACCTTAATGAAGGTTGGACGTCAGCTTTAGGACAAAGGGAAACAAGCTTAACTGTGGACTACAATAACTTGTGTGAACAATGGGTCATTGAAAACTTGTCTGTGATCTGTGTTACACCTAATACTCCCACACCTGAAAAGCTGAAAATGTACACTCTCGTATATGTGGAACATCGTATGGCATGGAGTCAGACAACATCATTTACGGGATCACGCTTACCAGAAGACCTTTCATTTCCATCCCAAATACCTTGCATGAAACAGAGACCACATAAGATCACCGGGCGTGGTTTGTAATGATTCTCATACTAAATTGGTGTAGCCGGTGGTTCTGTGGGCTGTTGGTCAGGTGGTACATTACTATCATTGGTTCGTCGTTGCGGCCATTTTCCGACATGTTGGTTCCAGATACCTGTTACGAACTTCCAAAGAACTCTATTCGCTTATCCTTTTGCTCTGATGATCGTATGGCAACTTTATGTGCTCCGGCTATAGGAGCGCATCCAACATGTGCCATGAAATCCCAATCACATGGCTGATGACAAACGACATCGGGAGTTAGGGGGACCGGATAAGAAACACCAAGTTCGGTGCAAATAATATCATCGGACGGAAATGAGATAGGCACATTCAGGGCGACAAGAACACCAAAGAAAGGTTATGGTCGCTCTGAAGACAGCAATAAAGGGCTTGCAAAGGTTGCGGTTAAGTACCGCGTACTGTCTAGGAAACGGGTTGCTTGGGTGATCCGATGGTTGTTGAACTGTTCCAGCGTTGTTCCACCAGTCTTCTGGCGCGACCGGTATGGCGTCTCTTTCAGTAATGGATCTGTATTGGGTGGTACATATGGAGCGGCGGCTATTGGTGTTGGTCTTGGGAGATCAACAAAGCAACAGGTTGAGGTCTAGTAAATGTTCTTCCGCTTTTGGGATCGGGTGTTCAGTGGACCGTAGCTGATTGCCATGCCGTTTCCACATAAATGATCCTACCCGGAGGCTATAAATCACCTTACCGATTCTTTGACAGTGAATCCAACTGTCCAGTTTCGACACCCAGGGCGACAAGTACACGGTATTCAGACCGGAATATTGGTTTCCCTCCGGCTGGTGATTGAAAACACAAAATGTTGACAAGATAGCGTCTCAACCGTCTGTTCATCGTAACCACGCTAGGGAGCGACCGTCCGAAGACGGTGGATTAGGAGTTGCTTTATAATTCGGCGGAAACGTAACCGGGACTTCTGTCGTGGTTCCTCCCCCTTCTGCTTTTGTCAACGCGCGTTAAAAGGTGTCTGCAAACCGTTCAGCTTGAACGTTGGATTGGGGATGGAATGGTGAGGAAGTAACATGTGTGGTGCCGTGTCTTCGAACGAATTCGCCAAACTGATGGGATGTGAACTGAGTACCATTGTCGGACACAATATTTTCCGGAATACGGAATACTGAAAACAAATGCCACAGTTTATTGATCGTTGCCATCGTTGTTTCAAACATAATAAGGACTTCAGGCCACTTACTGAATGCATCGACAATGATGAGTAAGCTTTGTCAGTTAATTGGTCCGGAAAAATCCACATGGATGCGCGACCATGATTTATCTGACTGTGGCCAACTGGATCGGTGGTACTACATTGCTCTTGCATTGCAGTACGCTGTCGTTTTTGGTGGCATCGCGGATTGTGTCCAAAGTCACGGGTAGTTGGTTCATGATCTCCAACACCAGAGCACGGACTTCCGATTCGCAGGGCAACGGTTGCCTTAGAGCGTGGTTCTGACTGGCTCCGTCTGTCCGGGTTTTGGCTGCATCTTTGACTAGCTTTTCACGCCCGGCACTAACTTGTGCACACTGAGCATTTGTGCTTTTTATGGGTACATAATCGCACAAAGTGCCGCTCACCGCATTGTCAGCACGTTGATGGGGGCCTTGCTCCGTTCGAATTTGCCGCCACCGGCGGTTGCCTCGATGTCATTTGGCAATATTGAAAGAAGGGTTGGATAATGGCCTCTCCAACATGGTCGTGTTGCGTTTAGGATTCAAAAGGCGCTGGCACTCATGACCAATGGACTGCAGCGTTAACTCCAGAGTTTGTTCAATCTTGTTCAATAACCTTGCTCTGATATCACTGTCTGAATACAAATTGTAAATAAGACTTGAACGAGCCTTCAGTCATGGTAGATAACTCAAATTGTTCGCATTCAAGGTTGACTCTACCGGCATTAGTGATATAGTCTTCGGATTCCTTTCTCGCTGGTTTCATACATTGATAGCGATTATCAAACAAAGACGAACGCTCACCGAAAATTGTTGAGAGTTGCTGCACGGTTGTGTCAAAACTGAGATCTCGCGTGTTTTTTGGCAGGATGAAGTAAGAATACCGTGTGTGTTTCGTCGTGTTCTGAGAAATAACCGCACTCTCCAAGCCCCATCTTTGTGTTTCAGTTCGACTTTGAAAATATCTTCGTAACGTCCGAACCACGAATAGAAAATAAGACCAGCATCAGGGTCACAATGAAATTCCGTGATGCTGTTGGCGACCGAGTCGACTGAATTTGAATCTGGAGCGGAACTTCGTGGAAGCAACCTGAGACCACGATTACGGATTTCTCGTGTATCGCTTCGCTTTGGAGTACAGAGAGTAGTCTAAGCTACATGATATAATCATACCAAGAGGTACCATCGTGTCAAGTGCTCTCTCAGTCGGCGAATTATCATATACACATGCTTGTTAGCCACAGTAGTCGGCAGCCAAACAACGATGACAACTGACGCGATTCTAAAAGCTGAAAGTGTTTTTTTTCGTAACGATGGTTACAGCGTACGGTATTTTGCTGTGAAGAACAAGTGGTTCTGGACTGAACCGAACCAATTAGTTGATCAAGATCGGCTTGATAAATTCAAGAAAATTAGAGCTTATTCAAGGATACCAATGTGCACTATTACTCCAGTGTACATTATTCTGGCAGGTTTCAGCGTACCCTACGTCGTCCGGAATGCTAACATTACAGGTTTGTGACATCAATTGTCCTGCTACCAGACATTCGTGACAGGCATCTGAACTTTGGTAGCCAATCCAAAGGCATGACAGGAAGAAACCTTCTATGTCCGAAAATTGTAACCGTTTGATCAACAATGGATCGGCATCCAAACCCTGAATATTGGAAGGGGATCAGAAATCGCCTTAAAATGAAATGAAATGAATGTATGTATTAACTCATCTCCGGAGTGTGCTGTTTCCCTGAAACTAATCACGACATTCCAGTTGAATACTCAAGCCGTTGGTGTGGCTGATTAACGTGTTCAAGGTCTGACAGAATAAAAGTGGTTTGACAAAAATGCAGAACCGAGGTTAATCGGGCTACTAAGAACTTAAATGGAGAAAAAAAGCTAAGAATGAAATGCAAGAGGAGTTGGGCAGGCCAAACCCATGGGAAATTGGGCTAGGCAGTTCAGCTGCCTAAACCAAGCAGTCTTGTTCATCAGTTCGACGACAGTGGATCAAGAGAAACAATTTAGAAACAACTGGAACTGCTACCTAATTTGACGGGTGCATAAACTGAGCATGAGTGTATGGTGATGAGTAGCCTGAGAGGGTACAATGACTGGTCAAAATCCGTGATCGAATGTATTTAATTGAGGGAACGGCAGTTCCGAAATCAATGATCCTATAGGTTAGACACAGGGCTACCGGAAAGCTAGTCAGAGTTCTGTTACTACAAATACCAAAACACACGATGGTAAATTAAGATATCACAAGAATCCATTTATTCAAATACGATTTTGAAACAAGTTAACTTCAGTAATAGTGATGCAAAATTGTTAGAGTTTCATTCCCAACATACCATTTTTCCACGGAAATCAGTTACTCACTGCACCTTATGTGGCGTGCAGGACTCATCATAATATGAGAACGAGTGTGAAAATGAAACCCGATCGATCTACTTCGGTTCTCAAGATTAAAAATTATACATAGGGAAAAGAAACACAGGCCTCGGATACTTATTGCTCAAGAAAATCGATGTAAACAACCAAAACCTCTTGGTGTGCTATTATAAATCCGTTTTGCACCGAAAGCAAATTCGTCTCTGGTTATGTCCTTACAGCCACAAGATGAGCAAGAATTTACCTTATAGAGTCTTAGGATGTTGAATTAACGGAAATCAGACGATGGCGTTGTAGCAGGGGTAGACTAGATTAATCCCAGAACGTGGTTCACCATACTTAATAAGATGCCCACAGTCACACTTAATCCCCGGTATGAGGGTTCCCCATTTCTGCAAAATCTCGCGAAGAAGCTGGGAGTAACAAATAAACACCGAAAGATATTCATTCACTATTATGATAGCAGAGCATAAATCCACTTACTGTAATCGGTCTCTCGTTACGAACAAGCCTAGTTCTTGATCGTCTGTCCTCTGCCGGTAATCCGGGCAACAGGAAAGCCCCATTTATCGGGCTTCAAAAATATTATTCCAAGTACTGAGCTGATGAGGCTGCGGCAACTGAGGTGACAAACACACCCCAAGTTTCAGTCCCTTTGCACATATTGATAAGATAGAGTGATGACGTTTTCCCTCAGAAAATCACCGCACCAAGCCCAGAAGGACCTGGCTCTCCAATGTGCGAGTGGTGGGCTATATTGATTTGGCCCTTTTTCTGTCTAAATCTGACCAAGGGTAAGGAGTACCACATCACAAGTGCAAAAAGAGCAAGCATAGGTCCGTGACTCATATAAATTAAGGTACTATATACTATAGTGATTTTCTTAAAAATGGACGGAACTGCAGACTAACCTGTTTTCGATGACACTCCTTAAACGATCAATATGTAGATAGTTCCTAAATTGGTCATTTGACACGACAACACCATTTTCTCTGGCGGCAACTTCCAGAATGACCCTAAAACAGAAGTTAGCGATTAGTGGAGCCAATAAACGACCTTCCCCGCATGGCTTAAAGGTTGAGAACCGCTTCGAGTAGAACCAAATACATCTAAGGGTAGTCTAAAATCTAAAAAAAACAGTAGCCCCTAGATCAACTGCGATTTGCTAATTTGTGAAAGATGTTGTGCGTTGCAGTAGCTTCACAAAATTATCTTGAAAAGCAGTGCATTCTGGAATACGCATAGAACAGTTGTTTCCGTCTTAAAGTAATTTCAGCCTGATAACCACCAAATTGAAAAAGCGATGTTCTCATCTATTTTACCTTCACCCAGCTTCGAAAGAACACCTGTAATGCTTGGATAATAAGCTTTTCGTTATTTCCAGTTATGGGCCTATTCGAGATTTGGATATAACTGATGACTTTTTTAGAACACAATGTCAAATAGCCTACCTACCATAAGGAAAAATGATGAAGACGGATTTTTCGAGTTTGAAGTAGCTGAGGAGTGAAGATTCATGGATCAAACCCATCCTCGACTTTTGGATGTTGGACTCCCGCCTAGGCATTCGACAAATGATGCTCATCGAGAATTCAGTAATTGACCAAGTGACCACGAATAGCATTTGAGCGATGCGGGTCGGGGTAGTCCATGGGAAGGATTTAGTAGATCACCTCAAGGTGCAGCGACTAGCCGGATATAATTGACCGAGATAAACCAGTGAATAAAAACGAAGAATTTTAGTGAGCATAATCACGGCAATGATGTAGTGGCTTCGGTGGAAATTTTTACGAAATGAAAAATGTAAACAAATGGTTCCAGTGAACAAGGGGATGCTCAACAACTTTGCAATAGCCTGCATTCTGGTTAAAAAGTTCCGGCTACAATGTTTCGGGATGCTAACTGTGCAATAGATTTGATGTGTCCTCTAGAATTTTGACAGTTCTTTCTGCCCAGTCACCCTAGCCTGCGGCATTGAGTGGTATTTTTCGAGGGAAGTTCGCCTCACCTCAAATTCGCTGATTTCGGCCCATTCATACCATGGTTCTGAGACATGGGTGGCCAAAGAACTGACGATGCCTCAGTTCCACCATGTATGATGGCGGCGCCTCGCAGCTGTACAATAGCACAATGTAGTCTGATACACAAGTCCTTTGGGACTAAATAATGTTTTCTTCAGGCTATATGCAACACAAACTGGCAAACAAATAAGGTGAGACCAGGCACTCGAGAACTGCAGGTTCTTCAGCATTATTTTCCGCCGCTCACATTTCTATTAATAATCTAACAGTGCAACTAAACACTAAACTTAGGGACCCATATAGGCAAGAGATGACCGAGGATGAAGCGTACTAACTTGTCATCGTCGGATGCTCGCTGAATGCCGTTTACCAGTCGAGATGGAGAATAGTAGAGATGACCCTCCCGTTCTAGTTTATCAAACAGTAGACCACCCTTGGCCTGTCGGAAACGGGGAACAACTGCGACCACATTGGTGTGACCGCGCTGTGTGAAAAACTCGACCGCCAAACGAATTCCCTCGGGATTGAACTGTTTGTTTCCATACCTAAAAACAGAAGGGGTGAAGTGATTACATCATGTATTGCTGGTTTACAAGGCTCACAATACATATTAAGCTTCCACAATCCGGAACTAATTATCGATAGTCTAGCAGGGAATATAAAAGAGAAGACCCAATTCTCAATCAATAAGCCCAGTATAAGGCATTCTGAATACCTCTGCTTTTTATTCTCGAAATGGAATACGCCGAACTGAGCGACCTGCCAATGGCTCCTCCAAATAAGCGCTATATAATCCACACCACCGCCAGCAGCAGCGACTAGAACGTTTACTTATGTTAACCATTAAGGTAGCAAAGGAAAGAGAGCGGACAGTGAGGAAGCCTGTTGGTAGTTCACCCCGATAAGTCTGGGGCGTCTAAACCTCTGAACACTCACTCAGAGAAGCTAAACAGAAATCGAGAGCCGCCACATCTTATAGCGTTGCCAGTCAGACGCAGGATATGTGACAAAAACCACACCATGGAGAGCGGACCGCATCAACAACACCGGAGCATTTGGAATAGCGACTTCGGTAGTTCTTATTTTACTGATACTGGGTTTGGTCGCGGAATCTTGCAATCTGACAACTCGTGTCATAATCCATACTCGCTAGAAACTTCAACTAATATGGCTGGTTAATTAAATGATTTATATTTGATATTACAGACTAATTATGTCAGTAAGTAGGTAGGTATGATGCCCAGACAATGAAGTTTACTGCGGTCATTTGTTGGATTAAAGTCAGTTACAAAGCGACCATGGCTGCTGAGTTGGGCTGCTTCATTAAATCTTCACTCTTGAAAGGAATCCCGGTACTACTTACGGTTATTGTAAGGGTTTTTCTAAAGGATAATTACCACCAAACACCGCCTTTCAAGTTGGGGTATCCCGTTTGTAGAGCTAACCGTAGTATGCGTCAGTTTTGTTGTCAAAATATCTGAGGGAGTAGTGACTTATCAACTCAATTATAGTAGTCACTAAATGCAAATTATATACTGAACCTACATGTAATCAGCATTCCTTCACGGTTCGTCTTTGGCAAGCTAGCCGCTATAGCTGTTCATTCCGCCACGTCAAAAAACAGCAAACGGTCTCAACTACAGGCAAATTCTGTTAGGATGGTAGACCTACACAGTCATGCGTCTTTTCTAGCTGGAAGTCCTTTCTATCACTTGATCAAAGTGTGATCGAACCAAGCTCATTTCCGCCGTTCAGTGGAAAACTTGTCCGCTTTCAGTACCTCGTTTGTATTATCGCAAACTTCGCCATTTGGCTGATTTCGATGTCTGTTCCCTTGCTAATGTAATGGGTCGAACCACGTACCTTCAATTGATTTACAAGTTCAAAGTATGCATAATAGCGTGAATTTAAGTGGCAAGAACACAAGTAATCACTGATGCTGCAGACGGGATAGTGATTTTACAACAGCGGTTAGGAGCTGGGCTTCTAACCACGGGGTATGCGGTTCACCGATGCCATCAGTCGTCCAGTTCCGCCAGCTACAGAGGTCGATGATACCCTGGACAGCAATGCAGGGTTCACCGTCCATCCCGTGTCCACCTATACATTTGGTGCATGTTTTAAACTACCCCAAACAGAATTAGCGAATATACACTCATTTGCAAACTAATTTGTTTTTTTTTTCGAGAGACTCACCTGGAACCCAGCTGAATCTCTCGTTTATGATGTTCTCGGCGGATTTTCAGCAACCTTATGAGTAATACATTACAAAGATACCCCAAACAGAATTCGTTAACTAGGACGCGGCCTGGAAAGCCTACATCCTCCTAAGAAAACTAGACACTGCAGAGCATGAAAAATACATCAACTTTAATCTCCACAAACCTGTGTGATTACAGTGGAACCATATTAGATCCACAGACATCACTATTAGCATGTTATCAGTGTCATAGTCTGGTTAAACATGATGTGTCTCGCAGGCGAGAACAACGAATTTGGAATGCGAAAGATTCGATCGTAATCAATTTAAACGCTTGATTTTCATATCCTACATCAAATAAATGCCGATTTTTGCACTCGTTCCTTAGGCAAATTGAAACGGGGATCCAAAAGGACATTAGGGCAACTAACAGATATTGATCAGTCCGGAGCACCACTCGACAGTGACACCACGATCGGATTATCCGTCATTAAACAATAGTAGAGGTGTCTAGACCTTGCGTATACTCAGAGTCCGTCCACACAGTTCGGTGGAACATCCCCCTAAACCGTCATCTGTCCGCTGGTTCGTGACGTTTTGGAAGGAATTGCCAAGTTACGGATTACCTGGGTTTCATGTGTGGCAAAAGATGACAAAAGGGCCAGTGTAGGCCCGCTGGACGAACTTATCACAAACTTCACAGATATCATTTGGTTAATTTACTAATATTGTTGCCACGTCCAGTAGCAATTCTTTGAACTTTGGAAAGCTGTTTAGCATTACTTGCCACTGGTCATACATCATCGTAAGCTTCAGCTGGATACAGCCTTCGAAATAACCGATATTTTCCAGACACTTGGTGCGTTTTTAATCTCAAAACAGAATGGATACGAATTCTCAGGACGTGGATAAATGCGCTCATGTTGAGATCGAACTCGGGTCGTTGATATGCTAGTCCACAATCTTAACCAGTCAGCCATTCAATACTGCTGGGATGGGAGGGACAACTGACAATGTGAACTGTTGTGGTTGGATATCTCCGACACCTACATCAGTTGACGTGTATTATCGAACACAGCGTCTGTCAATGCTGACAAATGTAAACTAGACAGGAGTTCCTGGAGCATCAAATTTCGTCAGAGGAACTAGAAGCGCTACCGCTGAAGGCACAGACAACTGCTGAGTAAGAGGCGCAGAGCCTGTTCAGATAACTAGGTAAATTCTGCGGTTTGGTCAACTTTTACCGACCTATTCTAGCCTGGGGTTTCGCAATTGTACAAAAAATCTTTCAGCTGTAACACCCTTTCGGTGCCTAGCTGCCATACTACCCGAAGGAAGCACGGGGGCTGGGATACTGCCAGGTCGCCCAAGCCTAGACAGAGGAAATCCAGAGGCAGAGGTCGGGTTCGAACCACGGGCCTTCCGGTCAGTAAATTCGCGCTCTAACCACTTGAGCCACCTCGCCCCCGCTTAGCGACCTTTTGCGAGGCGAACGTAAAACTTTTCTCACTTACTAAAGGTGTGCGTCGGACTTCCAGCATCGCTAGACCATTACGACCATCGCCAAATGTGACGGACAAGTCCGAAATCAATCTTTGATCCTCGACGCCCAGTCTATCTGGCCACCTTCAATATCCGTACTCTGAAGCAAGCAGAACAACAAGCTGCTCGTGCTCCCACACTGGATTCTCTTGGCATTGATGTGTGCTGCGTCTCAGAAACCAGAATTCAAGATGCAAGCACAGCGGTCGAGCTAACCGCCCAATCAGTCCCCGTTCGCAACTCTGGTGATCCAGAGGTTGTTGCGACGGGATGCGCAGAGATTGGTGTCGTCCTAAGTTAGTGGGAGGAAGGAACCTTTCTTGACTGAATACCTGTTGATAGTCGCCTCTGTGCGATCCGTCTGGCAACATCTGTGAAGGAGTCTCACAAGCGAGAAGTTGATCGGTGTCCGATTATCGTGTCCGCTTACATCCCAACTGACCGTAGCTCCGACGCCGTCAAAGACAGCTTTTACGACGCCCCGAATGCTCTGATGCAGTGAGCTAAAGGCTCAGATATCATGGTGGTTGCCGGAGATATGAATGCTAAAGTGCGCAAGATTAGCGCATCTGAGACCTGATTTAGGTGGTTGATAATGATCGGACTTGGTACGTACGGACAACGGTGAACGATTGCTTCAGCCATGTGCTGGTCCCAGGCTGTTTTTATGCAGCACTAACTACCGAAATAGTCGAAGTCGTCTGATGTCCTGCAACGATATGCTAGCCACAAACTCAAATCGATCACATTGTCATCAGTTACCTGTGGCGCGGATCAACCATTGACTGCTGGTCAAATTGGAACAGATTTGTGGATACCAACCACGTGCTAATCCAGAATCGCTTACCTCTGCATTTTCCGGGACCGCGCAAGGTGCAGACAAATCGCTTGGCAACTGAGATATTAGCAGATCCACATGTTAGACCAACTTACCACGACTGTCTTCTAGAGTCTCCTCCAAATGCTCCACTGTCACATATGAATTCATGCTGGATGGGATTGCCACCTGTTTGTATAGTACTGGGAATTTCGCCTGTGGCACGGCACCACCAGACATACTCAAGCACCGGATATCACACCGAACGGTGGTACTGCTTAAGTGTTGGAGGAATATCCCAGCGAGTCGCGAACCTAACTTAACGTGACAAATTACCAGGTGTCAAGTGAAAGTGGGAAGTGACCGCGAAGTCAGGTGGACACAGAAGGTCAAGGAAATGGAAAAGGCCCAGACAGCTGGTAATGCCGGAGGATTATTTCAGTTGATCCGCGCGACCGATCTCATTTGTGAGCGGAGGATAGGGAGGGAGTGACCATCTTGAATAAAGAAGAACCCATGTATCCGAGGGTCGAATACTTGGAAAAGCAGTTGACGTAGCCACTAGCTGCCACTCATCTAGAGCCCACAGGTGACACGGCACCCTGACGGTGAAGGTGGAACCCACTGTGGCATTGGAGGTTTATGACCACAAGCTCTCAAGCGCTACCGAGCTTCTGGTCCGAATGACTTCCTGTCTGCACTCTTCAAACGGGGGGGGGGGGGGGGATTCCCCGTCAGCGCTCGTCTGATTTGTTTGCCTGTATTTGGGAGAAGCAGACTATCTCAGATAACTGGCAGAAGTCAGTAATAGTGCTCATTTTCAAAAAAGGGGCTCCTAGTGAGTGTGGTAACCACAGGTCAGCTTGTCCCCGGTTGTACCGATACTGCTGGCGTCACTTATGCTTTGTAGCGGCTCGTGAAAAACTGACTCGAGAGTAACAAACGGGGTTAGGGACTCGTAGGGTCTGCGTTGTCCACATCTTCAAACCCCCGGTGTTCAGACAGCCTCTACTGAAAACTTTGTCGATTTGGAATGTGCAAACGATATCATTCTTGTCTTCGAAGACGAGAAGCGCAAGGGCATTCAGATGAACCGACCAAAGTCATCCCGTTCTTTGGTATGTGGTTTCCATCCACAAGGTGTAAGTTCATGTTCCTGGACATGCAGTCACTGAACACACCACTTACAATCCAGGGGGGTACACTCGAAGTTGTGGAGAGCTTTCTGTACCTTGAGAGTTAATTCAAGTTAATTCAATTTACCAATTTATAAACCGTGTGTCATAGGCACATTTGTTCCAGCTGCTACAGTTCCATTGAAGTTTATGCACGAATCTGCAAGGCTGAGGTCGTGTTTGCTAATCTGAAACACCTATGTTGTCAAGAGAAGTGTGTATCAGGCTACAGTTGGGGCTGTATTTTGTTGTATGTCTATGAGACTTGGATTATTCGATCAGCGGAACTGAGACCTCTTCAGGTGTTCAACAATCGTTGTCTCAGGACCATAGCTCGTGTGTGTTGGTGTCTGAGAATCCGTAACCAGACAGGTAGAAGCCGAGTTTTCGGTTGGGTAACGGGAACTTACATTGAAGAATGCAAACAGCCGGGAGCTGCGCCCGTTAGTACATATATTACATATGGCGAACCACCGCTTGCCGAAGAGTGCTGTTTTCCATGCTCAATTCAGAGTGGCGGAATCAGAGAGCGGTCAACCCTTGACCCAGCAGGAGGTCATAAATATTATTAAGAAACGTCTAAGTGCTATCAGTGCTATTTGTCTTTCAGGATGGGGAACTTGCAAACCCCGCTGCGCCCGGTTGGAGATGCTGCAAGATATGGCTGCTAACCGACGTCAGTGGCGTCCTTGTTGTCAGCTTCTTCACACTTAATCTTTCAAATAAATCATTGTTGGTACGGAAGCGCAGCATGTGCTGAGCACATCTGTCGTTCAGGTGTAGCACTCCTTCAGTACCTAGCTGCCGTACCACCCAAAGGAAGCACGAGGGCTGGGATACTGCCAGGTTGTCCAAGCCTAGACAGGGAAAGTCGAGAGGCAGAGGTCGGGTTCAGTAAATTCGCGCTCTAACCACTTGGCGATGATGGATTAACGTAAGAATTCGTTCAGAAGTTTGCGCCAGTAAAGAAGGAAATCAATCGCGAACGTACTATTGGGTGTCCAAGGACAAATTTTTGTTCTTAGTTTTATTTCTATGAACCAAAAACTCCATAATCTGTCTTA